TGTTTTCTTCCATAGGACCTGAGTTTGGTTCTCAACACCCACGTTGGGCTGCTGACAACTACCTGTGACTCCAGCTCCAGTGATTTTCAGTTAGCTCCTCATATCTTACTGTACTTTAAACTGTTCCTTGACTGACTTGTCTGTGTGCCTCCCCCACCTCCCCACCCTCCACCCGGCCATGAGAAGTATAACAGGATAACTAATATTCAACAGGCCGATCTACCACATGAGTAACAGGGAGCTCTATCTTGCAAGGCCATGGAGTCACTGGCTGTGGAAATCAGTTGCTCCTGTCTATAATTTCTCTCATGAGTCAGTTCATCTCTTCCCTAAGAATAGCTTTGGGTGTTTCCCACTGCTTGTGTGTATGTCTCATGAAAATATTCCATCTACTGGGCATATGTATCTGTGGGGAGTCATGAGGATGACTTTTCATTTGGCTGTATAATATTGATATATAGAATATATATTGGGTGCCTTGAGTTCCTGAAGGCCCTGGAGGAAGGAAATTCCTTCTCACTCGGGCTTCAGCTGGAAGGCTTAGCCCGAGGTTGGGAGAGCCAGCCTCTGGATTTTACACTACATAGCCATAGTTTTTCCCTTTGATTAGTCTCTAGGGCAGAGAAGTTCCCTTTAATCAGCTAACATTTGGTGAAAATGCTAATGCGGACTAAGTGCCATCCATTTTCCTCCAGAAGTTATGCTGGTTGCCACAACGATGTTTTCCCAGCGGAAGTGCTCAGAGAGTGCACACAACACTGCCTGCAAGTTTTCTTCCCTTTTTCTACATTTACTTGTAACAGACTTCTAGCTTAACCACACAGACATTGTTAACACAGAAACTCCCTTTCTCTCCTCTTAGAAATCATAGCTCCTTCCTCTATGGACCCTTTTCAGATATGCCCATGCACTTCATAGCCACACCCCTTCTGAGATATAAAGTAAGGTAACAGGCACCTGCTTTGTCAGCCTTATCTGTCTTATTGGCCCTGAGAAACACCTGCCTGTAACCTTGATATTGCCAGAGAATTACTAATTGTGTCTCTGTGGGCATATAAACTGGAAACCTTGTGGGAGGGCAGATTTTTTTTTTCTGGAAGAATAAAGAGGCAATGATAAGACACATGTGAGTAGACTCATTCCTTTAGTCCTCAGACCTTAGTCCTTTCACTTATTGTAATGTCTCTTTTGAACCCTGAGCACTTGGTGGTAGGGGATGTTAAGGCTGGCCCTTAAATCCCCCTTTAAGTGTGTATCTCTTTTACATTTATTTATTGGGGTGGAGAACGTGCTCGTGCCATTGTACTTATGTCAGAAGACCATTTCAGGAGTCATCTCTCTCCTTCTACCATGTGGGTTCTAGGAATCAAACCCAGGTCATCAGACTTGGTGGCAAGCACCTTTAACCACTTAACCATCTCAAGGTGCTGCCTTTCTATTCTTGCTCTGTTAGTGTAGGAGTAATCGGACCTTTTCTATAAAAAGCCAGACAGTAAGTACTTGAGACTTTGGAGGCCATATACCATCTCTGTCACTATCACCACAGCTATCAGGCAGGCATAGACACAGGCAGTGTGGCTCATGTCCCACAAAACTATTTATAGACATTGGAAATTGAATTTTATGTAATTCAATATCATAAAATGTATTGGGGGAATTTTCCTCCAATGAATAAACTGTAACCAGTGACCCTTAGTTACTATCCTTAGTTGCTGACCTTATTCAAACAGGCCTACTAAGAGACATTTTCTCTCACCTATACAGTGACCTGGGTTCTTCTGTTTAGTCTTGTCCCCTCTGGTCTACTCATCATACTATAGCCAAATTTACTTGAATATTGAATTCATGCTCTTGCTTAAAAGTCCTTTTAAAGATTCCATGGGAAGTGCCTGCCTTCTTTGTAAGACCCTTGTACTACAGACCTTGATTAATTTTTAAGAGATACATCTTGCTATTTCCCCTTATTTCATTATTCCAGCTCCTTGGGACTGATGGCAGGCAGCTCCTAGAATGTTCACTGATTTTCGATTCTAAGTTTTGATACTTCCTTAAATGATTTTCCTCTTTAACTTCCCTACTTCCTGAGTGAGCATTACTCTTTCTGTAGGAGTCATGTCAGACATTATTGTCATCTCCAGAAGCCCTCTGTTTTCTCCTGAGGCTGGATGGATTTACTTGCTGCTTCTACTGTGTTCTCCTACATGTCTGGAGAACATGGTATCATTTATTTCACTGTGCGTAATTGCCTGTTTTCTTTAGTGTCTCTTCTGAGTAATGAGCTCCTTGAGCACATAGTGTTTGTTCTACCTGCATTTTCCTGTGTGCTGTTCATAGCACACTCAGTATTCTACGGCTCTTTTTTGCATTATAAAATGTAGATGTAGGGCTGGAGAGATGGCTCAGAGGTTAAGAGCACTGGCTGCTCTTCCAGAGGTCCTGAGTTCAATTCCCAGCAACCACATGGTGGCTCACAACCATCTGTAATGAGATCTGGTTCCCTCTTCTGATGTGCAGGCATACATTCAGACAGAACACTGTATACGTAATAAATAAATAAATCTTTAAAAAATGTATATGTAAGCCAGGCATTGGTAGCGCACTCCTTTAGTCCCAGCACTCGGGAGGCAGAGGCAGGCAGATCTCTGTGAGTTGGAGGCCAGCCTGGTCTCCATAGCGAGTGTCAGGATAGCCTCCAAAGCTACACAGAGAAAACCTGCCTCGAAAAACCAAAAAAAAAAAAAAAAAAAAAAGTATATGTAAAAAAATGTAGACAAAAATTGATATAGCAAAATTAACCCTTTTAAAGTATATAGTTCAGTGGGGCTTTTTAGAAGCAAACTTAATAGTGTTGCATAGCTGGTCACCATTGTCTAATTCTAAAATATGTTCATCCTCCAAAAATCCTGTGCACATAAGAAGTCACTCTGGTTTAGTGTTGGTGGCTCATGCCTTTAATCCCAGCACTCAGGAGGCAGAGGCAGGCGGATCTCTGTAAGTTCAAAGCCAGCCTGGTCTACAGAGCAAGTTCCAGGACAGGCTCCAAAGCAATATAGTGAAACCCTGTCTTGAAAAAGAAAAAAAAAAGTCACTCTGCATGGCTGGGGATACTGCTCAGGTGTAACATATGTGTTTGTGAAAGATTCTGGTTTATCCTTAGAGACTCCCCGTTACCTTCTCTCCCTAGGTAGTAGCCATTGTCTTTCTGTCCTTGTAGACTGGCCTTTTCTGTGCATTTCATTCGGATGGGATCACAAATTGTTTGCCCTTTTGTGGTTTCAGAGTGTACCTGTGTTATGCCATGTACTAGGCTTCATTCCTTTCTTACAACTGTGTGTCAGGGTTATTATTTAACTTCTTCAAAGCTCCCAAGACTTCAGCTAGACTCCTGCTCTTGGAACAATTCTACTTTCATCTGCTCTTTGTTTATGGATAAACTTTCACCTTAAGTATTAAGTAATCAGAATTCAGGGCTGAAGAATAGACCCTTCTTGATTCTAAAGGTCCTTCCTTGCCTTGTCCCTCTAGCTCCTTTTCTTACTATTCTTTCTACTGTATCACCAGATAGTACTTTGGAGTCTTCTTACATACCTTAGGCCTTCTTGACACTATACATTTTATTGGTTATTTTCTCTTTCTGAAGTGCTCTTTTCTACTTGCTTCAAATTTTACCTAGCCTTCAATTCCTATTTCAGACAGAATCCTTTCTTCCATGGACTCTCTGAATTACCAGAGGAATTATACTCTTTAAGGTACTACCTTGCCTATTAATTCCTTGAAAATGCTCATGTGCTTTCTCTGTTGTTTCACATTCTTGTCAGTATGTTGGCACTAGATGGTAGGGGAAAAGGAATGTGTGAGAGCTGGTGACATGCCTGTAAAACTGATAACCTGAGTTTGATCTCCTGGATCCACATGGTGGAAGAAAAGAAACACACACACACACACACACACACACACACACACGCACGCACGCACGCACGCACGCACGCACGCACGCACTCGGACATGCACGTGCATATGCACGCACGCACATGCGCACCTATTACTAGCATACAGCACAATGACTACCACTTGGAACCCTGAACACATACCATCCAGAAACACTGCGTTGCCCTATAGAAGTATGATAAGCATGAATTAATTTTTGATTTGATAGTGAATGTTTCAAACAATCTTAGCTTAATATTTAGTTAGTAAGAGGTCTTCTGTAAGATTTGGGGTGGGGGAATCATTAAATAATGTTCAACTCAAACTTTAAAACTTGAAAATTCAGGGCTGGAGCGATGATTCAGCAGTTAAGAGCACTGGCTGCTCTTCCAGAGGACCTGGATTCAGTTCCCAGAACCCACATGACAGCTCACAACTGTCTGTAACTCCAGTTCCAGGGGATCTGACACCTTCATACCAATACACATAAAGTTAAATAAACTTTTTAAAAACTTGAAAATTGTTATACTGTGTGTCAGGTAAACATTCTCATGCAACTTTAAGCATTACAGAATTAGAATTTATGTCTTAATTCTTTTTGAAATAGAGGTGGGGTGTAAATAGAGTTTTATTTGCATTTATGATCAAGTTCCAAGTGCATGTGAGTAAATATGAATGAAACTACGCATTCTTGATGGGTGAAGTGGTATACACGTGTTAGCACTAGAGAGTGGTGGCATGAATATCAGGTATTGAAGGTCACCCTTGACTTAAAAGAGAGTTGAGGCAGATGTGGCGGCACACATCTTTAATCCTAGCACCTGAGGTAGAGACAGGCAGATCTGTGTGAGTTAAAGGCCAGCCTGGTTTACAGAGCAGTTCCAGATGAGCCAGGGATGCATAGATAGACCCTGTCTCAAAAAGAAAAACCTAAACCAAGCAAACAGCAACAACAAACGTAACATAGGGAGTTCAAGAATAGTTTGAGCTACTTGAGCTACTTGGACATTGTGTTAAAGGGGAAAAAAAAAGAAACTACATATTATTAAAATGAAAAACAATTTCTTTTTTAGGTTAAACTACAGAACAACATATCGTATCAGATGGCAGACATACATCATTTAAAAGGTAAGAAACCTTTAATTATAGAGGAAAAGTAAAGACTACTTCATGTCTGAAATCTTCAAGAATTAAGAAATGGATGAAAGAAATAAAATTTTCTGGACATAGTTATTACTCTTATGGCAAAATGTCTCTTTACTTTAAAATATTAAAAAAAAATCACTTAATGTTGCTCTGTATGCAATAAGTGTAAGAGTTTGAGGCCTGTATTTTAATCTTGTGCATAGACAGGGTTCCTACAATAAAATATTCTTTAAAGAATCCTCAGAAGGAGCTGGAGACACGACTCAGTAGGCAAACTGCTAGACCTGTAGGGATAAGAACCAGCATTTGAATCCACAGAATCTATGTAAATCTGTGCAAAATAGCATTAGCATCTGTAATTCTAGCACTCCTGAGGCAAGCAGGAGACAGAAACAGGAGGATACATAAAAGCTAATAGGCCAGTTGGTGTCTGCAGCTGTGAACAAAGAGACCCTGTCTTAAACAAGATGGAAGTAAAGGACCTGTGCTTGAGCTTGTCCTTTGACCTCCGAGAATACTGCATGACACAAATGTGTGCACGTAACCAAAAAGAATTCCTTAAAGAAGGGCTGAGAGGGTTGGTCAGTTAGCAAAGTGCTTGTCATACAGTCCTGAGGTGCCCACATAAAATGCTGGATGTTTTGGATTTGGTAATCCTAATACTGAGGAGATAGAGACAGGTAGTCTATCCTTGGAGCTCGTTGGCCTGGTAGTCTTACAATATGTCTAAGTTCCAGGTCCAGCGATAGATTTTCTTTTTTTGGTTTTCGATTTTTCGAGACAGGGTTTCTCTGTGTAGCTTTGAAGCTTATCCTGGCATCGCTCTGGAAACCAGGCTGGCCTCGAACTCACAGAGCTCTGCCTGCCTCTGCCTCCCAAGTGCTGGGATTAAAGGCGTGAGCCACCAACGCCAGGTTCCGCAAGAGATTCTATTTCAAATAAATAGAGGAGAAGAATAGAGAAGACACGCAGTGTTTGCTCTCTGGACTCCACATGCACGTGTATGCATTTGTGCAAGCACATAAATATAAAAAAGTTCTCAAAGAAAATTGAACTGTAGCTTATGTGACCATCAAGTTTCTAGAAAAAAATGGGGTGTTTCTTCTGCATTGTGTCTAGCATGTGAGGTTCTCTAAGCTTAATGCATTGGGCACTCTGAAGACAGACAGAAACCTGGAATGTAGGGAAATGAGTAATAAATGAATTAAAAGCTCTAACTGTAAAAGTACTCTGTATTAGTTATTTTTCTGTTAATATGATAAAACACCATGATCAAAGCAACTTGGGGAAGAGATGGCATATTTCCTCTGATAGATAGTAGTCCACTATCCACGGAAGTTAAGGCAGGAACCTGGAAGAAAGCAGGAATTGATATAGAGGCCATGAGTGCTGCTTACTGACTTGCTTTCCATGGCTTGCTCAGCCTGCTCTCTTACAGCATTCAGGGCCATATGCTGTTTTGTTTTAGATGAAGTAATAGGAGATAGTTACCACCTTTATAGAAAGAATAGGTAAGGAGAGCAAGCTCCACAGCACTTCACCTGTCAGTTTGTTTTTAGGAATTGGGACATGTGATGGTTTAATCTTCATTGTCAGTTTGACTAGATTTATAATCACCTGGGAGAAACAACTCTGGGCATGTCTGTGAGGGTGTTTTTAAGTGAATATAATGGAGGAGCTAAGACTCACCCTGAATGTGAGTGGCACCATTTCATAGTGTTTTTTAGAAGTTTTTTTTGTTTGGATCTCCCCTCCACCCCACCCACCCACACAGGCTTTCCCTGTGTAGCTTTGTAGACCAGGCGGCCTCAAACTCACAGAGATCCGCCTGCCTCTGCCTCCCAAGTGCTGGGATTAAAGGTGTGCACCACCACCACCCGGGTTTGGAGTAATTTTTTATAAAGTTAAGGTCTTCCTATGTAACTGAGACTAGCTTCAAACTTACAGTGGGTGCTGGCATATAGGCACTATATCTGGAACCCCAAGAATCTTATAATAGTGGCCAGTAGCACCTTCACTGAACATTATCATTGAGTTCATATTAAGGAAATACAGTGTAGCTAGGTATACCTTTAATGCTAGCACTTGGGAGGCAGGGACAGGCAGATCTCTGAGTTCAAGGCCAGCCTGGTCTACTGAGTGAGTTCCAGGACAGCCAGGGCTCGTACACAGAGAAACCCTGTCTAAAAAAAAAAAAAAAAAAAGAAAACAGAAAAAAAAAAAACAGAAAAAAAGAACACTACCAAATAAATAACAGTTAACTAGACATTCTAGTGCAATCCTTAAAGCCTAGCACTCAAGGCAGAAGCAGGTGGATGGCTATGAATTCCAAGACAGCAGAGTTACATGGAGAGACTGTCTCAAACAAACAAACAAAAAAGTGGGACTGCAAGACCATCACTGGTAATGCAATGCAGGATGCATCTAAGAACTTGTGTTCAAATCCTACTGAAATATACAAGTGTTCTGTTACCATGGACCTGCTGAGGAATATAGTTGGTACAAGAGAAGTAAATACAGACTTCAAAGTTGAAGCCAAAGAAAAATGTAAAAAAAAAAAAAAAAAAAAAATATGACAAAGTTGGAAAACAGGTGATATTTGAAATTTCTGGTGCCCCAATGATGAAGCAGCATGGATACTTTTAGAATTTGAAAAAGTTGAGACAGCAACTAAAGCTGTTGTAGAGCTGAATGGGAGGTCTTTGTTAGATGAGTGGTAACAACACGTTTCTATAGTTTGGATGAATACTGGGTTCTAAATTTGGCAGTACAAGTTCAATTTTGAGAATTGGAGTCATCTCAGTGATCTTTAGATGAGCCACAGTATGAACAATGAGGAAGGCCTTAGTAAGCCCTGGAGCTTGTTGACCAGCCAGCCTTGTCTGCTCAGTGACCTTCCAAGGGCTTTTGCATGCATGTGGTACACAGACACACACTCAGGCACATAGGTCACAAAAACATCCAAGGTAGAGGGCTCCTGATGCGCTACACCCAAGGTTGACCTCTCACCCATCACACATGCTATCGCTGTCTAACTTTTAAGAGTATGAGTAGAGCCGAGCATTGGTGGTGCATGCCTTTAATCCCAGCACTCGGGAGGCAGAGGCAGAGGCAGGCAGATCTCTGTGAGTTCGAGGCCAGCCTGGTCTCTAGAGTGAATGCCAGGATAGGCTCCAAAGCTACGCAGAGAAACTCTGTCTTGAAATCCAAAAAAAAAAAAGAGTATAAGTAGAGAAATTGAAAATGTACATAATTGCCAGATGGTGGTGGCACCTGGCTTTAATCCCAGCACTTGGGAGGCAGAGGAGAGGCAGGTGGATCTCTGTGAGTTCTCGAGGTCTACAGATCAAGCTCCAGGACAGGCTCCAAAGCTACAGAGAAACCTGTCTCGAAAAACAATAAATAAATAAAATGTACATGATATAAAGACCTCTTCATAGAAAGTATTTCAGTTTCTTCTGTACCAGTTATGGGCTAAGCTTCATTTCCTTGACCAAATCTCTCTCAATTGCTACATTCCACTTCTGAGAACTGCTTGGAGTGGTTGGTCCAGGTGAAGGTCCCTCACAAATCAAGGTCAGGAGGTTTGAGCCAGGCCTCTTCATGGGCTCACCACACTGTGGGAAATAAATGTAATTCTTGCAATTTCCTTGAAAACTGAAAGATTAACAAAAAAAGATTAGATCACATTTTTCTGGAAGTAATCAGCCCCACAGTTCTGCAGGTGCTGTCTCTTTGGTAAGGTCTGGTAGGCCATTGGGATAGGATCTTCCTCAAACTCCTCAGAACCTTGCAGGATCCCATCCTCCCCTGTGAGGAAGTACAGATATTTGTTGCACAAGAATTGTTACTTTAAAATAGAATTGCCTTTTTCTGGAAAAAAAAAAGGAAGAAAGAAAGAAAGTATTGCAGTAAGTTTGATTATTTTTTGGCTCTTCCCCTTGTATGGCTAGAACAACTGGCTGAGCTTCGTCAGGAGTTTCTTCGACAGGAAGATCAGCTTCAAGACTTCAGGAAAAACAACACATACCTTGTGAAGAGATTAGAATACGAGAGGTAAGATGCTGCATGCTGCAGCCTCTGTGAGTCCCAAGTGTGTGTCCAGTTTTGCACATAATTCAGTTCTGACTTCCTGTCCTCTACTCTTTTTTTTTTTTTTTTTCCCATTTACTTTATCTTATCTCTCTCAAAGATTTGGAAATTTTTTTATCTTAATACGTTAAACACTATGAAAACTCTTAATGTGATATGGTGGGTTTTTCTAGATTGTAAAATAGAAAAAAATCTTACTAATGACAGGAGTTATTGAATTGGATATGGTAAGGACTGAAAGAAGAGTCTTTCCTTTTGAGGGACTTCCAAAAGATGAAACAACACTGGGGCATGTCCTCAAAATAGACAAGGGACTTTGCTCTCATGCTTCTGCTGTGTGCTACTGCCTTCTCACTCATGCCTCTGTGTAGTGAAGAGATGAAGAATTCCTTAGGGCCAGATGCTTTTAATCAGCTTTATGGTAAAGCATTGTTTTCTTTAGGTCTGTACTCCAGAAGTTACACTCAACAGTTCATCTGTTTCTGACTACTATAATTATCTGTGTATAATGTATGTATGTATTTTAACTGCCGGTATTTAGGGTTTTTTCATACATCTACAGGATAAAAGACTAAAACAGTGAGATATACTTTATTTTCTAGCATATCTATTTATCAAAACTTAGTTTCTACAATTTGTGAGACCATTGTAGAAATTTTACTTTTCTCTGTATTTCTTGGGCTGGCAAGATGGCTCAGTGGGTAGAAGGCACTTGCTGTGGAACTCCAACTTCCTGAGTGTGATCCCAGGGTCCTGCCATGGGAAGGAGAGGACTGACTCCTGAAAGTTGTCCTCTAGCATCTACACATTCGTCATGGTGCACTATGGCACACACATGTCTACACACATTGTACACACAAACATGTAACTAACAATAATGGTAAAGTAAAATAAATAATCTTAGATTGTTGCATTTTTATTTTTATGTAAGAGATTGTTTCCCCTCTTAGTACTTCACTAGTATATATTTAAAAACATACATATACTAAAAATGTTTTACCAATTAGCTGCTGTATAACATAAATGAAAGATTGCATACTAAATAATTGTGCTAATTTATAATGTAGATATTTTCTCATAGCCCTACCAACATTGTTTATAGTTTGAATTTAATCTGGGAGATGTAAGAATAAAGAAGTACAAGTATATCAGGATCGGAAGTTTAATTTGTGATCATAATGTAAATATTGTGTGTCTCTGTATTCATTAAATGCTTGTTCTTTTTGCAATGTCTATTTGTATTCTTTGACTACTTGTCCAGCAGAAAGCCACCATTTTTATCTGTTTTGACTTTTTTTTCCTGATTCTATAGTGTTTCTCCCTTTCTCCTTATTACATGGATAAACTTGCATTGTGGTGTTTAGAGTACTGTTGTAGGGTAATTTTACGTTGTATGAAGATAACATTGCTATGATTGTAATAAAAACTGAATGGCCAATAAAACTAGGCAGGAGGTATAGGGGGAGTTCTGGGCAGAGAGAAGTAGAAGGAGGAGATAATCTAGGCACATGGGAGATGCCAGGAGACACAGAGGTACAGCATGGAAGAGAGGTGATGCCACATGATAGAACACAGATTAATATAAATGGGTTAATTTAAGTTATAAGAGCTAGGCACATGCCTAAGCTATAGGCTGAGCTTTCATAGTTAGTAAGAAGTTTCTGTGTCATTATTCAGGAGCTAGCTGGTGAGACAGAAAAAGACTCGTTATAGAGGACTATTGAACAAATCAGTAGCTGCCATTCCTTATTGACTCCTAATTCTAGCATTTTTCATGTATTTGATGAGAACCAACAATTTTCTTTTTTACAGTATGCCTTGACAGTTGTTTCTTAATAGGTGAAATTTGTAAAAGGCTTGAGGAAGGATTGTTTGCATCTGTCTGATTTCTGTTTTTTTTTCTTTCTTTCTTTGTTTTGTTTTGTTTCAGTTAACTTTAGCAGTATTTCTTTTCCCCTGTGAAAGATTTAACTGTTCTGTTATTCTTACTGCATTTCACTGTTTTTCTTTTCTGCTGTTCTCTACTGACCAACGTTTTGTCTTTCTAAATGTATGTGCCAGCTTCTGGACAAACTTGGAGAACTCAGTCCAATGGAGTCTAAAAGAATGACTTTCTAATTTAGTTTTCAGTGTGGACAGCAGATCAAGGAATTAAGAGCACAACATGAAGAAAATATTAAAAAATTAGCAGATCAGTTTTTGCAGGAACAAAAGGTAAATTAAAAATAAATATCTAAACAATATGTGCTTTAGTTGTAATACATGTAATTTAGCAGAAGATGTGCTTTTGTCATAACACGTTAAGTATTCTGGCCTGCCTAATTTAAAAAAGGATGTGTATTAACTGGGTGAAGTGGGTGTCTGTAAAACTGTATCAGCTTACTTGTTTTTTCTTATGGCTAAGAATTGAACTTAGCACCATGCATATGCTAGGAAAATTATTATTATTATTATTAATGTTGTTGTTATAGTTGATATCAAATTTTAAGGTGAATGGGTTTTTACTGAAAAGCCTTCCTTCTCTCTTCCTCCTTTTCTTCATTCATCCCTTTCTTCTTCTGGAGACATTGTCTTACTGTATAGCTCAAATTGTCCTTGAACTCCCAACCCTTTTGCCTCAGCATTTCAAGTCCTGGTGTTACAGATGGCTGACACCCATACTCAGATTCAGTTTTTTTATTTTATGAATTTGAGAAAATAGAACAGAATTTGTCAAGCTTTGTAGTAGTCTCTGGTAGTCTGGCATTCTATCTTAAAACAGAAATAATACAACTGCATACTATATAACTGATTTTGATTTGTATTTTCTTCAAGTAATGTGGGTCAGATCTATAGCTCCCTGTATGCTAAGTATATGTTCTGTTGAGAGCTACATGCCCAACCCTGACTGATACAGTTTGAGTCAGCAGACTATTTATTCTTTTTGAGTTGATCTATCATAAAGGTCATTGTAGAAATTAGCTGGGCATGGTGGCACACTATTTTAATCTCACCACTCAGGGAGTCAGAGGCAGGCCGATCTCTGTGAGTTCAAGGCCAGCCTGGTCTACAAAGTAAGTTTCAGAATAACCAGGACTATTACTGTTACACAGGGAAACCCTGTCATGGAAAACCAAAAAGAAAAAGGAAAAAAAAAAAAAAAAAGAACAAGAAAAAGAAAAAGAAAGAAAGGAATAGAGGAAATTTTATAAAGATCACTAAGGTTTTTTTATATATATACTTTTCAATCTCAGTTGATTAATGTGGTTTGTATAAGATCTTGTAATTAAAAATAAAGTGTGACTCAGTAATGGAAAATATTTTCTTCTTTGGTAACATATAAGGGCTAGAAGTCAAGGCTGTCAGGTTTTTGTTCTTCATTTTTTCCTCAGTTTTTCAATGGGGATATTGAGGGTGTTGTGTCTCTCACAGTTTTTCTGTGTACAAATTGAAACAGTTGCTGTTAATCTGTCTCTCTGCTTTGAAGGGTGAGACTAGGCTAGTGGAAGAAGACAGGTTTGAGTGATCCCTCAGCCATTGTGTAGACGCTGAGTGTAGTGAGAAGACAGTATTGAGATCCTGGAAGTTTAGAGGAGTATAATGAAGTATGAAAAGAAGGAGAAAGGTTTGTTGTGGTGTCGGTTCATTCGTTGCAAGCTTTTATTACTTTCCATGTTTTTACAAAAATAGCTGACAATAGCAACTTAGGGTTGAAAACCCAAAAGAATACTTTTGCATGACATGGAGATACTATTAACAATTCACTGTGTTCATAAATAAAATTTTATATTGTTTTTGTAATACAAGGACAGAAAAACTAGACGATCAGAGGAGAATAAGGAGATTTGAAGACTAAAACACTTTATAGTATATATACTGAGTTAGATCTTGGAATAGAGAAAAGACATGGTGGAAAAATTGGTTTTAAAAAATCTAAATGAAGTCTGAAAGTTTAGTTAATAATAATTTTTTCTTTTTCTGTTTTTTGTTTGTTTGTTTGTTTTGAGACAAGGTCTTGTGTAGCTCAGACTGATCTTAAATTCCCTATATAGTGGCCTTGAATTTTCAATTTTCCTGCCTTTATTGCCTCTGTGCTGGTATTATAGATGTATGCTACCCTGCTCAGCTCATGCAATTCTGGGTATTCAATCCAGCATTTTATGGATGGCTGGAAAGCAATCTACCACTGAAGCCACACCTCCAGCCCAGTAATACTATTGTCTTTGTTTTATAGGTATATCATGGCAATATCTATTTTAACATCAGGAGAAACTGGGTGGGCAGCAATTAATTTTCTATAAATCTAAAATTATTTCATGCTGAGTGGTGGCAGCATATGCCTTTAATCCTAGTACTTGGGAGACAGAGGCAGGCGAATCTCTTGAGTTCGAGGCCAGCCTGGTCTACAGAGCAAGTTGCAGGACAGCCAGTACTACACAAAGAAACCCTGTCTTGAAAGACCAAAATAAATAAATAAATTCCATATTAAAAAGTTTCCTTAAAAACAATGAGGAGTCCACTCACAAAATCACAAAACATTGTTTTAAGATAATTGTCTTGGTCTGGAGAGATGACTCAGCCATTAAAGGCTAGATTCATAACCAAAAACATAAGATAGTGTCTTACCCTACCTAGTTCAATTCCCAGCACTCACATGGCAGCTCACAACTGTCTGTAACTCCAACATTTGACACCCTCACACAGATATACATGCAGACAAAACACTAATAATTCACATAGAATAAAAATAACTATAAAAGTAATTATTAAAAGAAAGAAATTTGTCTTACAGTATGTAAGACTCTACATGGTGTCTTACACTATAATCCCAGCACTTGGTAGGCAGAGGCAGGAAAATCACAACTTTTTAGGCTAGCCTTGTCTATCTTATCTAGGCAGCATAGACTATAACCTTGTGTCTCAAAAGAAGAAAGGGAGGAGGGGGAAATAGACTATTAAAAGTTATCCATTCACACAAAGGTAATAACATTAGAAGGAAACTATCTCTGTTAACTTGTTTTGTTTTTTTTTTTTAAATATTTTTGTAGCCCTTAGATGATTGAGTGGGTAAGGGCATTTATCAATAAGTCCAATGACCTGAGTTTGATCCTCACTCCCCACATGGTGGTAGGAAAGAAATGACTTCCATAAGTTGTCCTCTGACCTACATATACCTGGCACAACATGCAAACGTGCACATGCACACACACACACACACAAATTGATAGTTTTATCAGTAGCTTAGTAATTCAAAACTGAAACATACTTACTGTTTACCAAATTTTATCTTTGGCAGGAGACCCATAGGAGTCAATCAAATGATGGAAAAGAGTTGGGTATAAATGATCATGTAGCACCTAAAATTATTCCAAACGTGGCTGAAAATGATGCAAATAAGAATGAGGAACCCTCAAGTAATCATATTCCACATGGGAAAGGTAATATTATTGTTTTGTGTTTGTTCAGTCATTGAGAACATTTGATTCTGGTTTTGAGATGATTTAGTGTCTGTATTCTTTAAAATTTTGGTCCTTTGATAGAAGAGAAAAAAGTAAGATAATTTTAGTTAAAACTGTATCAGGGCCAGGGAGTTGGCTCAGATGGTAAAGGTACTAGCTATGCAAGTATAACAACCAGAATTCAGTTCCTCAAATCTACATTAAAAAGTTGACTGTAGTGGCATACCTCTGCAATCTCAGAACTCCTACGATGAGATAGGAGATGGAAACTGATTTTTCTGGAAGCCCTCAGGTCAGTTAACCTGGTGTTTGCAGCACACACAAGAAACCCTGTCTCAGCAGTGAAGGAAGGTGCTGCTTCCCTCTGACTCCACATGTGGACATGTGCACAGACACACACACACACACACACACACACACACACACACACACACACACACTGAACAAAGTGGGTTAAAACAAAACTAAGTTCTAAACAAGGTGTTCAGTTGTAACCTGTGGCTTTAGAAACTGATTTTTGCTTTCCTTCAAAGCTTTCCCGATTTATATAAGCATAAACATAATTGTATCTTATTTTGTTACTTGAGCAGAACAAGTCAAACGAATTGGTGATGCAGGGATGCCTGGAGTAGAAGAGAATGATCTAGCAAAAGTAGATGATCTTCCTGCTGGTAAGTGGAAGTTACCGGAGAATTGACTAAAGTGATTATATTGTTTTTATGTGCCCCATTCTCTTTAATGTTGCAGTTTTGAGACAGACTTCAACTTTGTAGCCCAGGCTGGCCTTGAACTTTCTTTGTAGTACAGGCTAGTCTTGAACTCAGATTTTTCTGCCTCAGTTTCCTGAGTGATGGTGTTACAGGCATGTACCACCATACTCTGTTCTCATTGTGTTTTTGTAGGACCTAGAAAACCTACAGATATATGTGTGGTTGGTGCTGCTCATTAATTATCAGAATTTAAAACAAACCTTTTATTGTATTTATTAGTGTGTGTGGTGAGGGGGTTAAGTGTAAGCCTTGACATATGTGTGAAGGTCAGAAGACAATTTGTGGAAGATAAATCAAAGTCAGGTTGTTAGGCTTGTTGGCAGTTACCTTACACACTGAACCATCTATCTGGCCAATTGCCAGGATTTTTTTAAATGTAATTTTTATGAAGTTTTTTCTAAGTATACAGTAGGTTGAGCAATACACAGAGGCAGAAAGAGATGAAAGTGCTTTGCTGCTCTGTTGTTATATCACCTACACTTTCCCTTCTACAACACAGAAGGCTAATATGAACATGGTGGTATCATGACAGAAACCACTGTTCACATGAGTGTTCATAAAGAACCATCCAGCTTTGAGAAGGATAATAAAGTCTTTATTGTTTTAAGCTACTACAATTGGAGGATGTCTATTGAGAGATCATATCCTAGTCTATCCTAACTAGAATATGTTACTTGGGTCATTTTTATAATTTGCTTAAATCATTTTATGTCACTTATTATTATATAGTTTCTAAACTTAAGTATACAGGAAGTCTGGCATTTACTCTGAGAAAAAGCAGCACTCAAATACACATCACTGGTTCTCTCATCACTTTGTCACCTGGTTTGTTTCTACTACCATCTGCAATATACAACACACATTTCTGCACACAAAGCAGCTGGTAACGACCAACTAAAGCCTTTAGAGAAGAGCACTTCGCTAGGACCAAAAGCGTAACTGTGACTTGCTAATGTACCCAGGGACAGCTTGGTACTGTCTTTAAATCTGCTGGTCACTGTTGTCCTTAGCATAAAAATCCTAAGACAGATGGAGGGTGCTTGTTGGTCTTTGGATAAGATCAAGTACAGAGCCAGGCATTGGTGGCGCAATGCCTTTTATCCCAGCACTTGACAGGCAGAGGCAAGTGGATCTCTATGAGTTCAAGGCCAGCCTGGTCTACAAAATGAGTTATAGTACAGGCTCCAAAGCCACAGAGAAACCCTGTCTCAAAAAAACAAATCAAAAAAAAAAAAAAAGTGCAAAAGAGAGAGAGGCATCTCCATTACTAATACCAGTGATGCTAAGATTTATATTATATACACAAGGATGAACCTAGATAAAACTCGAAGCAATGGTGGAGAGGGTACCTGAACTAGCCTCCCCTGTAATCAGGGGATTATTGTAATTGTAATATTGTAATTGTGTAATTGTCATCACTGAACCTTCACCCAGTAACTGATGGATCCAGATGCAGAGATCCATAACTAACCACTGGGCTGAGCTCCCAGAGTCCAGTTGAATAGAGGGAGGAGCGATAATATGAGCAAAGGAGTCAAGATCATGATGGGGAAGCCCACATAATCAGCTGACCTGAGCTAGCAGAGCTCACTGACTCTGGACTGACAGCTGGGGAACCTGTATAGGACCAGGCTCTATCCCTAGTGCACAAACTGACTTTTTGGAGCCCATTCCCTATGGAGAGATACTTTGCTCAGCCTCGACACAGGGGGGAGGGCCTTGGTTCTGCCTGGTGATGGGGCAGACTTCATTGACTCCCATGGAAGGACTCACCCTCTCTGAGGAGCGGGTGGGGTGGGTGGAGTGGGAGGAGGGAACTGGGATAGGTATGTTAAAAAAAAAAAAAGATAAAACTTGTATTATATTGCCTCCTGCTCAAGAACAAGGTGACTTTAAAAACAAACTATGGAGTTGGGCAGTGGTGGTGTATGCCTTTAATCCTAGTACTTGGGAGGCAGAGGCAGGATGATCTCTGTGAGTTTGAGGACAAGCCTGGTCTACAGAGCAAGTTCCAGGACAGGTTCCAAACCTCCAGAGAAAACTTGTCTTGAAAAACCAAAACCAAACAAACAAACAAAAAACCTGACAAAAAAATATGGTTTAGATCAGTGGTTCTCAATCAGTGAGACCCAACCTTTTCACAGAGGTTTTCTAAGACCATCAGAAAACACAGATAATTCCATTATGATTCATAACAGTAGCAGTTACAGTTATGAAGTAGCAACAGAAATAATTTTATGGTTGGGGTTTACCACAACATGAGGACTGTAGTAAAGGGTCACAGCATTAGGGAGGCTGAGAACCAACCATCTAGACAGACAGGTAAAACAAGACTGGACTAAACAGACAACCCTTTATGAGACTCCTAGAGAATCTTACAAGTGATATAACAACAGAGCAGCAAAGCACTTTCATCTCTTTCTGCCTCTGTGTATTCCAAGCCCACCTGAGCTACAGTGTGAGACCCTGTCATATAGAAATAAATAAAACTCATGTTTTTATTGAGGGTTCAGCATGATGACTCAGTGGGTAAAGAAAGGCACCCCTCCCACCACACCTGATTATCTGAGTTCAATCCCCATGTAGTGTCTTGCCTCCCCATGCCCCCAATACACTCATCTACACAAAATAAGTAAATGCAAGTGTAAATTTTTGAGCAACTGAGAGTACTTACTATATTCTTAATGTTTTACCTAATCTGCAAAGTGCAAATTTTTGGTTATACTTATTTATATACAAAGATCTATCTCAATATATGAGATAAGCCATTATATATGAAAAGATCAACTTGTTTGTTTATTCATAAAATCTTTGCTGAGTATCTGTTATGTGCCAGGATGTGTTAGAATATAATAGTCAGAAAGACAGAAGAGATAGTACAGTGTATTAATTAATAATCATAACAAGAAGGAGGAAAAGAAATGGTAGGGACCTCCTGCTTTGGAGCTTTGAGGAGTCTGAGAGACCCATGGAGGTTCTGAGTGGTGACACGGCAGCAGAAAAGGAGTCGGCAGAGCCCAAAATAGTTCTGAAACAGCCAAAGAGACAAAATGGAGGGGGGACGGGACGGGACAAGTCTTATGTGAGGAAAGAAAGACTTTAGAATAGTTCTGTGCATTGCACTTCGCCGCCACATTTCAGCTAGCAGACTGCAAACACAAAAGGTCATGTTCCATGAGCCATGGGACTGCCTGTGCCCATGATAAGGGGATGTGTAATGGCTTGGAACTGCCACAGAAACAGGTCCTTGCTGAATAAGGCTGGGCTGGCCAGCCTCTAACATGGAGCTGCTGATACTGATGCCTGTGCCGATTGGCCTGCTGAGAGATGGAGAGTGTAGGGCTGTATGTGATGGAGAGACGGGAACGATGGAGGAATGGAGCTGTGAGTGCACATTGGGGAGAGGCAGAGCTAGAGATGCAATGGCAGTGACAGGTGTGAGAGAAGGCTACAAAGGCCGTGGTGGATAGGGGATAGGGTGGGCACCTTGCTGAGTAGGGCCGACAAAGTGGTGTGCAGTATCTGGAGCTTGAGCAAACTCAGACCCTGAACATGCTCCCCAGCTGCATGATTGCCCTAGTTCTGAGCAATGACAGGATGTCTAAGATGAAGTGTGGTTCATTTAATAGATTGGACTTCCTTGAAAGACCTCTGTGGTCCATGGTGCTCCTGGAGACCACTTTGGTATCCCCTGAGGTTCATGTGGTTTTCAGTGGTCCTATAGCAGCCAGGTGCTGTGTTGATGTCCATGGCCCACGTTACCACTGAAGTCCATGAAGAAGCCTGTGCTCTGTGCTGCCATCTCAAGCCATGTTGATGTCCATGGGGCTGTGTTGCCACCAAAGGCTGGCCATGATCTGTGCCACCACCTGAGGCCATGTTGATGTCTGTGATCTGTGCTGTTGCAGAAGTCCATGTTGGGATCGATGGTCATGCTGCAGCCAGGGGTGGTATTGATGTCTGTGGCCTGTGTTTTCACCATAGACCAGGCAGATGTCTATAGTCTGTGATACTGCCAAGGGCCATGTTGATGCTCATGGGGCTTCAGTTGACACTGAAGGCCATGTGGGTATCTGTGGTCTGTAATGCCACCTGAGGCCATATTGCTGAATGGAGACCATATTGGTGTCCTTGGCCTATGCTGCCATCAGGAGCTGTGATGGTGTCTGTGGCCCAGGCTGATGCAGAGAGCCAGGTTAATGTCTGTGCTGCTACAGGAGACCATGCTGAGGTGTTTGACACATGCTGATGCCAGAGACCATGAGGATGTCTGTGGTCTATAGTTTATATGGTCACCAGAAATCATGTGAAGTCCAGGATCCATGCTCCCACTGACTTTAAAGAGCATAGAAAGCTACTTTTGCAGTGGTATTAATACCTGCAGATGCACAATTATAAAGAGGGACATAGAAGGTTTCTGTGACAACCCCCATCCCACCCCCCAAAAAAAAGTAATAACCTAGACAGAAAGCCATGGAGGAGAACTATTAAAAACTGTGATAAGGCTGCTGAAGTGTAGCTCTCTGCAATTAATGACTTCTGCAGGTGGGGTGGGGTGGGGGGAACTGGGAGTTTGACTGTGCTCCAGTGAGTATATAGGCAACACAAATTGCATTTGTTGGGGTTTTTTCCCTCTCCTTTTTTCAGGGGGAGATATTACAAGAGTTGGTGGGGAGTGCTAGGAGGACTGGAAGGTGGGTGGGGTACACGATGTAAAATTCCCAAAAAATCAATAGAAATATTATGTAAAAATAATAATAACCATACAAGAGTTATTTATTATGCCAAGGATAAGGATTATAAAATTAGGATAAGTTGGGGCTGGAGAGATTGCTCCGTGGTTAAGAATACTGACTACTATTCCAGAGAACCTGGCTTCAATTCCTAGCACCCACATTGCTGGTCATAACTGTTTGTAACTCCAGTTCCAGGGTATCTAGCATCCTCATACCAGTGCAAGAATTATTTTAAAAATTAGCATAAGCATCATAGGATTACTGCAATGTAAATTGATTCCTGGTGTTTGGCTTTTAGGAATCATAGTAATAATGGGAATAATGTGGATCTTTCTTGTCTTGTAGCTTTAAAGAAGCCCCCTGTGTTAGCTTCTCCACATGAAAGTCATCAAACAATCTCCCATCTTCCAACTGGACAGCCTCTCTCACCTAACATGGCTCCAGGTATAAAGTCTCACTTAGCATTCAAGTGTTACTATAGAGTGAGTAGAACATGCTATTTTAGCAGCATGGTGAAGTAGCATTCATTCTTGAAATTAATATTTTTAAATGATTGGCAAAAAGTTCAGGGAGAAATAATCATCTAAAGCTGCACTTTTAGGTCTGAGAACGTTGCCTGGTTGGTAGAGTGCCTGCCTTGAATGTACAGAGCCCGGGGTTCTGTTGTCATCATCCCACAGAACTGGCCATGATCGTGTATGCTTAGAGTGTCTTAGAGTTTCTATACCTGTGAAGAGATACCATGACCATGACAACTTTTCTGAGGAAATAATTAATTGGGGTGGCTTATAGTTTCAAAGATTCAGTCCATTATCATCATAGTGGGCAGCAAAGCGGGGAGCATGGCCATGTGCGGGCAGACATGATGCTGGCTACATCTTGATCAGAAGGCAATAGGAAGGACAGTGACACTTGGTGTATCTTGAGGGTAGGAAACCTCAAAGTCCATCCCCTCAGTGACATACTTCCTCCACAAGGCCATACCTACTCCAACAAAGCCACACTTCCTTTTTTTTGTTTGTTTGTTTTTGTTTTTGTTTTTTGCCAGATAGGGTTTCTCTGTGTAATAGCATTGGCTGTCCTGGAACTCACTCTGTAGACCAGGCTGGCCTCGAACTCACAAAGATCTGCCTTCCTCTGCCTACTGATTGCTGGGATTAAAGGTGTGTGCCGCCACCACCCTGCTAAAGCCACATTTCCTAATAGTGCCATTCCCTATGAGTTTATAGGGAGCAATTACATTCAGACTATCACACCAGTATACCAGAGGATGATCAGAAGTATATGTATAGTGTCCCACAAGCTTCTTAAAATTAGTATGTCTATTAAACCCTTTATTTAGGAATGTGTTTGTTTTCTCCTTAACACCAATTTGATTTTACAGTACTATTCTAACATAAAAATAGGTGTGATTAAAGGAGTTGCTGTGAGGAGATAATGAAAAAGGACAATATAGAAACTAGGACTAGCCCGGCGGTGGTGGCATGCATACACCTTTAGTCCCAGCACTCGGGAGGCAGAGGCAGGCAGATCTCTATGAGTTCGAGACCAGCCTGGTCTACAAGAGCTAGTTCTGGGACAGCCTCCAAAGCCGAAGAGAAACCCTGTCTTGGAAAAAAAAAAAAAAAATTGCATTTTTTAAACTTGATGTTTTTATTCCATAGATTCACAACTAAACCAGAATGAAAATCCTGGGATTTCAAAACAGAACCCTTCAAATCCTCTTCAGCGCTTAATTCCAGGCTCAAACCTGGAGCGGGAACCCAGAATTCAAACAGACACACTAAAGCAGGCCACCAGGGACAGAGTCAATGATTTCCACAAATTGAAGCAAAGTAAGAATCAATTGACAAATACTATGCTAATAGGAGTTCTTTAAATACAATGTATTTGCTTGCAAGACTGAATTATGGTCTCATTGTTATGCTCTAACAAATCTATAAAGAGAAAGTATGGTTCTGTTAAAATTTAAAAGAAAATAGGTTTTAAATAGAAACTAGTCTAAAGAAATTATAAAAGGCTTGTCTTGGTCACCATTGTTAATATATTACAGGTGAGTTGATTTCTTAAAAAATGCTCGGTTCTTGTGCATTTGAATTTTTAAGAAGTAAGATAAAATACACTTTGTGAGTCTAATGACTGGGAACTTTGATTAGAAGGGCAGAAAGGTAGTTTTGAAAAGTGGCGTATTCTGGGGCGAACTGGTACCTGGTGCGGCTGCTGTAGTGGGAGGCTCAATATCACTCCCTCCTCTGTTTCCTCCAATTGTTTCTGTTTCATGTAGGTGTACAGTCACAGAACTGGCAAGTGTGTTGCTTAGTTACTTCACAGGCATTGATTTTTGGCAAGTTAAAATTTCTGTGAATCTATGGAACTCTAGTTAGTAGATTCTTGAAACCTACAAGGAAAACCCAGGGTAGCAGAGAGAATTTACTGCAGGAGCTGCCCCTGACATCAGCTCTTTAAACTGTGCTTTCCATTCTGTTTTCTTTTAATGGCTTCTTCTCTTCTCCAGTTCTGAGTAGACAGAATGTTTAAAAGCTCCAGTTATGGTAGACTGTCCAGAACCATCGTTTAAACACAGGTTGCTTATAGGTTGAGAACTGGACCGCATATGTAATTATTCAAATACTTCTGTTGTCTTCTAACAGTTACTTATATGTATGTATACATGAATATAGAGTTTAGCTATTACTTGGCTTTCCTTCCATATTTTAAAGCATATGTGTGCATCTTGATTAAAATGATACATAATAATGTTTTATTTGTAAGAACGTAGTTAACATCTTCAATATGTTGGGAAAAAATATTTTCTTAAAGTCCCACTGTGGAATTGGCCTGTGCGTTAGTTACTCGTTTGATTACTGTGACAAAAATCCCTGAAGAAAGTAGTTTAAGGAAGGTTTATTTGGCTTACAGTTGAAGGTACAGCCCATCAAGCTGAGGAAGGCACGCCAGCAAGAGCTTGAGGCAGCTGGGCACAGTGCCGCCTCAGGCAAGAAGCAAACAGTGCTGAGTGCTCTTGCTCAACTCACTTTCTCCTTTTTATTCAGTCTGGGATCCCAACCCATGGGTGATACCACCCACGTTTAGAGTCTAGATAATCCTCCACAAACATGTCAGCGACTTTTCTCTTCAGTGAGCCTAGATCCTGTCAACTTGACAGAATTAACCATTACAGCATGAAAACAGTTATCTCAACAAGGACAGAGGACAACATCAAACAAGAGGTTTGAAGAATTGGTCCTGGTGGCTAATGCCTATACTCCTAGGCACTTTGAAGGCTGAGAGGAGGATCACGAATTTGAAGCTAACCAGCCTGAACTGCAAAGTGAAACCTTGTCTAAAAAGGGGTTCGGGGTAGGGGATCTGAGGGTGCATCTAATTTGATAGGGTGCTTGTCTGTCATGCATGAAGCCCTGGATTTGATTACCAGCACCACATTAACCAGGGTGACAGTGCATACCTGTAATCTCAGCCTTAGGAGGTCGAAGGGGTGTGAATTCAAGATTATTCTTGGTACATGTTGAGTTTGTGATATTTGCAATTCTCTCAAGGAAAAAGAAAAAAAAAAAAAACAGGGCTGGTAAGATGGCTCGGTAAGAGTGCTTGCTAACAAGCATGATAATCCAAGTTTGATGCCCAGTGAATAAAAGAGGTAACTAACTTTAGCAGACTGTCCTCTGACCTCAATATGCATGTGCCACATCACACATGTACTAATGCACAGGCATGTGTACACACACACACACACACACACACACACACACACACGTTGAAAAAAAAAAAAAGTAGTTTTTAATGACAAAATAGGGCCAGGCATGGTGGTTTATGCCTTTAATTCCAGCACTTGGGAGGCAGAGGCAAGCTGATCTCTTGTGAGTCTGAGGCCAGCCTGGTCTACGGGTAGTTCCAGGACAGCCAGGGCTACACAGAGAAACCCTGTCTTGAAAAAACAAATAATAATAATGATAACAAAATAAAGTACCTTAATTTGTCACTTTAATTAATTATAACATTGATGCTATAGAATTTTTTGCTAGTATTGATTTGTATTTATGTATATGTGATCATTCTGTAGTTAAATAATGTCTGTAAATGCTAGAAAATTACAAACTTATCTTGGGAGGACCCTCACTGAGCCTTAAATTATTTTCTGTGTATCATTAATGTATATGAAGTACTGCTGTCACTTTCTTTAAAGAAAAAATGTGTTTTGCTTACATGCATGCATATGCACCATGGACATGTAGTGTGCTTGGAGTCAGAAGAAGACAGTGTTGGGCCTCTTAGAACTGGAGATACAGGCAATTGTGAGCCACTGTTTTGGTGCTGGGATCTGAACCTGGGTCCTTTGTAAGAGTAGTAAGTGCAGCCGGACATTGATGGAGCACACCTTTAATCCCAGCACTCAGGAGACAGAGGCAGGCGGATCTCTGTGAGTTCGAGGCCAGCCTGGTCTCCAGAGTGAGTGCCAGGATAGGCTCCAAAGCTACACAGAGAAACCCTGTCTCGAAAAACCAAACCAAAAAAAAAGAAAGAAAGAAAGAAAGAAAGAAAGAAAGAAAAAGAAACAAGCCTGTTTCACATGTCAATCTCTGCTCCCTCCCCCGTCCCCCACCAACCTCCCACTCCCCAGGGAAGGTGAGGCCTTCCATGGGGATCCCCAACGTCTGTCATACCATTCTGGGCAGGGCCTAGACCCTCCCCCATGTGTCCAGGCTGAGAGAGCATCCCACCACATGGGATGGGATCCCAAAGTCCTTTTTTACTCCAGGAATAAATACTGATCTACTCACCAGAGGCCCCATAGAGTGCCAAGGCCTCCTCACTGACATCCACATTCAGGGGTCTGGATCAGTCCTATGCTGGCCTTCTGATGGCCTGTTTTTTAAATAGTAGTTTTGAGACAGGATCTCACCGTATTCCCAGGCAGACCTGAACAGGAATTCACTTCACTGCGCTCACATGACTTCCTTAGCCTGCTGAGCAGCCTGGCTGTTGTTTTATATGAGAAATTTTATTTTATTTTATTTTAATGATTTCCTGGTATGTACTCTGTATGTTGATTTTTTTTTTTTTTAGCCACTTACCCTGAAAGTTTTATAGATTGTTTCTGTATACTTACATCAAATATTTCAGAATAATTCAGATACTCCCCTTTAATAAATTACTTCTTAATGTTTATCCTACTCTTGTGCCTTTCCTAGTTGAAGGCTTTATTTATTTATTTATTTATTTTCTTTAATTGATTGATTTTTTTATTTATGTGTATTTTGGCAGTAAAGGATGTGCAAATGTATGTACAGGTGCCTACAGAGACCAGAAAGTTCTGGGTTCCCTGGAACTGGAGTTACAAATAGTTGTAAGCCACCGTGTGGGTGCTGAGAATTGAACCCTCATCCTCTGGAAGAATAGCCATTAAGTTGTCATTCCCTATTCTCTCCTAAGAGCCCCTGGCAACCACTAATCTGCTATTGTAGATATTTCAGTAAATAAAATCATAAAATATGTGGCTTTAAACCAAGTGTGGTAGTACACTCCTGTGAACCCAGCCTATGAGAGATAGAGGCAGGAGGATGTGAGCTTCAAGATCATAGCAAATGAGAAGGTGCCCTTTAGTGCCTGGCTTCGTAGCATGTATCACTGTTTTGTTCCTTATAAGCTAGATAGCAATCAGTTTATAGATGTATTTTGTTTATTCATCTATTTTTTTATTTTATTTATTTATTTATTTATTTGTTGTTTTTTTGAGACAGGGTTTCTCTGTGGCTTTGGAGGCTGTCCTAGAACTAGCTCTTGTAGACCAGGCTGGTCTTGAACTCACAGAGATCCGCCTGCCTTTGCCTCCCGAGTGCTGGGATTAAAGGCATGCGCCACCAACGCCTGGCTTGTTTATTCATCTATTAATGGGCACTTGATTTACTTCTACTTTTTGACTATTATGAGGATTGCTATCATGAATATTCACACACAGGTTTCTTGCTAGACACCTGTTTTCTGCTTTTGGGGTATGTACCTAGATGTGGAATTGCTGAGTCACATAATTCTATGTTTAGCTTTTTGAGGAACTGCCAAGCTGTTTTCCATAACAGCTGCAGTATTTTATTAATACATTCCTCCCTGTAATATGGAAGAGTTCCAGGGCAGGGAGTATGGCTTCGTTGGTAGAATGCTTGCCTAGCACACAGGAAGCCCTGTCCTGTCTTTGATTCTTTGATTGTCAGAACCACATAAAACCAGACATACTTGTAATCTCCGCTTCCATAGTGAGTTCAAGTCCAGCCTGAACTACGTTGAGACAGTTTTCAAGAAAAAAGCTGCCATTTCCCCAGCCTCCAGCAACATTTACTCTTCCCCGTCCCTGCCTCTCTCTGTGTGCTGCCACCCCACTGTTTGTTTTCAGGGCTGGGGGGTCCCACCCAGGCCTTGCACTGGCATCCTAGGCTTTGGTTCTTTTGATACTGATTTGTGTCCCTCAAGACTGACCTCCTTTTGGTGTTCTGTTTGTGTATCCTCTTTGAAGAAATGTCCATTTAAGTCCTTTGCCCAGTTTTAAAATTGTATGTTTTGTTGTTAAGTTGTAAGAAATTATTTTTTCTTTTTTTTATTCTTTGTGAATTTTATTAAGAGTTTCTTATATATTGGGGGTACTATAGCTACCCCTCCCTCCCTCCCTCCCTCCTTCCCTTTCTTTTTTGTTTTTTGAGACAGGGTTTCACTGTGTAGCCCTGTCCTGTGCTCTTAACCACTGAGCCATCTCAGCTCCTCATTGTTCATGTTTTGAGATAGTCTTGTTTTGTAACTCTGATTGGCCTGAAACACAGATCAGTCC